ATGCATTGGAACGATTCAACAGCACTTAGAAATAACAACATATCTATACTGTTACCTCTTTTTGTTTTGTAGTTGACTTCATTATAAATTGATATCTATGGTTCTCTATTTACAATCTTATAGTTTGTTTTACTTTGGATACTTTTATACCTGGATTGAGTTCTGGGTGGTATTGTCACATATGGTAATCTAAGGTTGCTCTCAGCGGTTGTTGTTTCTCAGTCCAAAGGACACCCTTTAGCATGTTTTGTAAAGTTGGTCTGGTTATTAAAGTTTCCTTTTTACCTGAAAATGTCCTTATTTTGCAGTCATATTTGGCAGACAGGTTTTTTGGATATATGATTCTTGGTTGGCAATCTTTTTATTTCAGAGTTTTATATATGCCATCCCATTGTCTTCTTGCCTACATGGTCTATGCTGAGAAATCAGAGCTCAGTCTTATTCTCTTTTGTAAGTAACTTTACGTTTTTCCTTAGCTTCTCTCAGGAATCTTCCCTTGGTTTTGGTTTTGGAATTTTGATTATGGTATGTCTTGGTGATTGTCCCTTAGGGTCTATCCTGTCTGTCATTCATTCAACTTCCTGACTGATTATCTTCTTGGCTTTCATGATGTTGGGGAATTTTACTTCCTGCAACTCTTTAGCAATTTCTCTGTGCATTTTACTACCTCTTACTGTTCTTTTGATCACCTGAAAGTCATACCTCTTCATGGTTTCCCACACACATCTCAGGTGGTTTTTTGTTTTTTTCCCCCCATTCCTTTTTTTCTGATTGTTCTTCTAGCTTATTAGTCTTGAGAGATTTATCTTCAAAGTCGGGTTACTCATTTGAATTTCCATCGATTCATATATATTCCTTTGCCCTTTCAATGTATTGTCCATTTCTGAGATCTTAGTATTAACCTGGATTTCTATCTGCAGGTTTTGTACTGTTTCAAAATTTGCATTTATTTTGACAGTTTTTCTTGTAAGGTTTTCTTAAATTCCTCTAAAGCTTTTTTCTGTGTTCTCCTTGCTTTCCTTGATCTTTCGGTCAATTTATGGAAGATACCTAATTATCATTTTGAATTTTTCTCAAGTATTTTCATTATCTTTTCTTTTTTTTTGAAAAGTCTTTTCTGGCTCTGCATCTTGGTCACTTGTTTGAGCCACTGTCTCATTTCTTCATGTGAGCTAAAATTGTCTGTTGTCTCCCAGACATTTAAGTGTCATTGTATTTGTATTTAGTTAATGGCTGTATGTTGGTGTGCTCTTAGGCTCTCACCAATTGTCTCCTGGTGGGTGTAATTAGACAACGGAAGTGTGTGCACTGTTTTCCAGTCATTGGTCATGCAGTGCAACTCAGTTTAGGGTGGATTTGGCTGATGTCTACCATTGACCAGGTGGTATAGGAGCTGGTATTGGCGCTTGTCCAGTGGGTGAAACTGCAGAGGGTATGGCTGTGGTTGAGTTTCATGGACACAGGTGTTAACACCCAGGTGGGACAAAAGAAGAAAGCACACACAGGAAATCAAAACAGAATAAACAAGCATGCAAGCAAGCAACAGTGAAAACAGAAAATAATAAAGGAGAAAAATGAAACAAAAGTGTGTGGCAACAAGAAAAAATAATGTAAAAATAAAAAGACAAAAGAGGGACAAGAAAATAGAGCTATAGAAGAGAAAAATAAGAGATAAAAGGAAGAAGAAAAAGACACTAAAACAAAACAGAGGAGGAAGATGAAAAGAGAAAGAGACTGGAGAGGAGTAGAAAAAAAATAATGAAGAAAGAGCAAAAGGTGGAAATGAGAAACAGAAGAAAAGAAAAGCAAAAGCACAGGTAGAAATGATAAAAATCAAGGGCAAGAAAAGCGAGGAAGAAAGACAAGAATAAACAAACAAACACAATGAAACAACAAAAGTAAAAAAGAAACAAAAAATATGCTGTTTTTGGGCCAAGAGAGGAGAAAACGCTGAGGTGCTCCAACCAGCAAAAGAATTGATGAGGTGGGTGGAGAAGGGATATGAGAGATGGAGTTCCTATATTGTTGTTGTCAAGTGCCATTCAGTGGGTTCTGACCCATAACATGTTCAGGCACCTAACCCAGAAATGGTGGGTGGAGATCCTTCAGGTTGCCAGTTTTAGTATCTGTCAGAATCAGAGGGAAGTTGTGGGGCAGGGTGGCCCATTATGAAGGTTTCTGCTAGTCTAATTCTGGCCTGGAAGTTCTGTGGGTTCTGCAGATCTGGAGCAGAGTCGGCCTGAATCCAGGAGCCAAGGCAGCTTATGTGCCACCTGTTTCATGCTGGCTCAAACCGCATGACTCTAAGCTCCTGGAAATCAGGGTCTTTGCTGGGAGTAGATAAGTGTGGGGGCCAAGCTCACCTCTGTTATCCAGGGGAGTGTGGGGAACAAGAAAGAATCACTCCTTTTTGCTACCCATATGAATCTGCACCATCAGGTTATCATCTTTCTCTTCAAAGCGGATCCAAAACTCAGATCAGGTCATCATCTTTCTCTTCAAAGCAGATCCAGGATGGTCATGCTGCATCTGACTGGAAGTCCATTCATCAGCCAGGTGCTCCTTTGTTCACCACCCCTGCTCAGCTTCTCCTCCAAGTAGGTATTCAATTTACTTTTCTAACCTTTCCTCTGAAGCTCAAGGTTCCAGGATTGTCCTCGGTGTCTGTTTCATTAGGTCTTCCATATCTTTGCTGTAGAGGGTCACCGTAGCATGGCTGCCTAGTCCACCATCTTGCCAGAAATCTTTATAGTTTCATTCTAAAACAGCTTTTGACACACTGGCCTGGGATATACAATCAGTGTTATTTTCTGTAATCCTCCTAATTGATCTCTCTACAGCATGTGATTACCAAATACTTTTTCTTTTCTTCTTTTTAAAACATTTTATTGTGAATTGAGTCTAAGGTTTATAAAGCAAATGACCAGCTTTACATTCAACAAATGATACACATTTTGTTAATCTCATTGGTTGCAATGCCATCAATGTAACATCACATCCCACTACCTCCCTTTGCTTCTCATTTCCTAACCCTTCTGACCTTTGTCCTTGAGTAAATGCTGCCCTTTGATCACAGATCACTGACTATTATTGTGTGTGTACCTCCCATCATAGAACTGCCTATTGTTTGGCTGAAAATTGAGCCTTGGTGGACTACCAACTACCTCTAAAAGTCACTGTCAACTCCTCCTCAGAGCTATTCTCTCCTCTTCGTTTTTCTTGTATCTCCCCCAAACACACTGTCTTCTGCTCTTATCTGGTTAATTACACTTCAGAAATCTCTCTGGAGTTCTACCCTTTCTCCTTTCTATCACTATGGCTTCTCAGAATGTCAGTATCTTTTACGTCACCAATTCTGCTCCCTTCCTGATTGGCTTCTCTGCCTTCAGCCTTAACCTAATTAAATTCACTCACCACATTATAAACAGAATTGTCTTTTAAATGCAAACAATGCAGTTCACATCAAGTCACTTTCATGCTCAAGTCTTCAGTTAATGACTCTTCAAACTCTTTGCTGTTGTTCACTGTTGCTTTTGACTCAACCCTGACTCCTGATGACCCCATGCCCAAAGGGATTGGCCTTCCACCGTCCACAGGGACTTGGCATGAAAACAAGGATCTCAGTTCTTCCTGACTGCCCAGACTCATCCTTACTTCTCCAAACTCCAGGATACTACAATGTAAGCTATATTATTAAAGAGCCTCACCTACACCACTGATTGGTTAATTCTTTAAGTGCAGGGACCAAGTTTCAGTTATTTTGTTATAACTAAGAGTTTGGCATTTGTAGGGATGCAGAAAAAAGGTTGTTCAAATCAATTAATGTTGATTTTTAAATGTGTTGTTTTCACTTTACCAAAAAAAAAAATCTATGAGATTTATTTTGACATATATTTTTATAAATCACTCACCAGTTTTAAGTCAGTATTAATGAGTTCAGTTAAAACAACATATACACAATATAAGTAATGCAGAAACTTGAACACATGTTAGGTTTCATGTTACAAATACTTTTAAAATAAGAAAAAGCATTGACTAGTCAGGTTATAAAAACAGAACTGAAATCACCAGCAATGCCACACAGACAAAGGATTTCTTAGTCACTCATCAGAATTAACTACATATTCATAGCTGTCTTAAAAAGAAAAGTATACCAAATGTTTTGAAATAGGTGATTCTGCTTCTTATTCTAAAATTCAGAACTTTTTTCTTGTAGAAACTACAAATAATCTCTTAAACACGATCCTTATGTGAAAAAATATCATCTAGACACAAACATATTACATTTGATAGAAACAATTACTGGCCTGTTTTATGAATTTCCACAGAAATAAAACATCAAAAATAAAAATAATTTCTACATATGCACAGATAACAAAATGAAATCAAATTAGCCCCTGCACCAAGATATCTGTGAAGTCCTGAATTCAGGGATCTCTGAGTCTACTGCAACAGACCAAGGTGTCGGTGATGTCATTAACTGCTGCAGAAAAAACTGGGGACCATGAACACAGATCCTGGCAGCACATAAACACTGTCTGAGTTTACCTTTAGATTTAAAGTAAACAGAAAAATTACTTTACAGAATGTCTGTCCAGTCATAACTCCTGCCCTCAGCTACCTGCATTTTCAGAGATTTCTACTATATTTCAGAAATATAGGATAACAACCTCTGTTCATAAAAGGTACAAATTAAGATTGTTTAAACAACTAAGCAATGAGCTAAAATGTTAAATGGGTAATATACAAAATATGCACAACCATAAAACAAACTTTTCGTACGTGCCAATAAGATTACAACTATTCCATAATAGTTTATCATGACACCATAATTAGATGTAGTTTTGTACCTAGAACACCTGTTTTTAAAGATATAAATGTTCCTTGACTTAATGTCTTAACAGTTACTGAAGTAGACATATTAGGTTTCTGCGCAGAATTTGTTAATCAATTTGATATTCTGACAGAATTGGGCATGCACATATATGTTAAAGTCTCACCTTGTCAAGTTGATCTTGAAGACTAGTGGATGCTTTGTAACCAAGTTGTAAAAGCATTGCTTCCGCTGCATTTTTTTTGGCTATCTTTTTATTTGGTCCTGTTCCAGTAGCAACTTCATTGCCTACCTTGACCTGGTAAGATTAAAGTAAGAAATTAAAGATAACTATTTTGGTAAAGAGGAATTCCTTAACAATATAAAGCAATGTATTCTACCATCCAGCATCCAAAAATATGAAGTTCGGTCCATAATAAAAACAGTAAATAATATAAGATCCCATTTAATATGATAGCATATATTCATATAAAATATATGAGGAAAATATGAAAAAATGTTCTCAAAATGTCACTGGGTGGTTAACCCAGAATGGTAAAAGACTATTTTGCTTCCTTCTATATTTCATTTTTCTAAACAAAAAATTTGTATTATTATTTTCATAATCACAAAGTTGACATTTTAGTAGAGTTCGTGTTGGTTATGACTACATTTAGTAATTTTTATTTAAAATAAACTGAAAAAGATAAATTCATATTGTTGTTATTGTTAAGGGCCACTGAGTCTGTATAGGGTTTTCAAGGAGGAGGTGGTGAGCTTAAACTGCCAACCTTGTGGTTCAAATGACTTTGCAGTCCAGCACATTAGCGCACAGTACAACACCCATTTAAAATACTGTTCATGCTGTAATCTAAGTTTACAATGTTGTTGCTGTTATTAAGTGCTGTTGAGTCAGTTCTGACTCATAACAACCATGTATAAGGTTTCCAAAGAGTGGCTAGTGAGTTTGAACTGCCAACTTTGTGGCTCAAACTGACCTTGAGGTCTAGTGCATTATCCCACAGCACCACACCTTAAATAGTGTGAGGGAACTTAACACACAATGAGCAGTGCAATCTTGTGGTTAGGAACAAAGGTCTGCAAGTTAGATCTGGGTATGAACTCTGCCACCTCCTATCTACATGAAACTGCTACAAATTGCTGAATCTTTCTACACCTCTGTGCATCAGTAAAATTAGGGGAAAATCACCTGCCACATAATGCTGGCTTTGATAATCAAACAAGACAATGTATGTGCATCACATTATTTAACAAATCATAATTGCACAATCATTAGTGGCTTTATTGTTAGCACTATTCCATAGCTATATTTTGTGGGGAATGTATGTATGCATGCTTATGTGCTTAAATGTATAATCACCATCCTCTGCCTACATGTAAAATCAGGTTATGCTCCTCCACAGATGCATATGCCAGGAGAAAATGCAGGTATAAAAAGCAAATTAGCACGCAAAACCTTTTAGAGGAAATAGAAAATACAGGATTTGTTTTCCCACATTTGTCTCAAGTAATAGCAGATGCATACAAAAAAAAAAAAAAAAAACTTAGAAAATTAAGCAATGTAATTCTAAATAAATAGGCAAAAGAAGTCCTAATATAGAAATTAGAAAGAATTTTGATTAACTATTACTGGAAATACAATATATTCAAACTTCAGGGACACAACTAAAATTGTGTCTAAAAGAAAATACAAGAATATATAAAGAAAATCAATATGCTAAATTGTTGTTGTTGTTAAGTGCCGTCAAGTCGATTCAGACTCATAGCAACCCTGAATAGGGTTTCCAAGGAGCAGCTGGTGAGCCTGAACCACGGACCCTGAAGTTCAAATGACTTTGCAGCTTGACACATTAGCCCACAGTGCCATACCAGGACTGCAAATATGCTAAATAGCCACCACAGAAAACATGACCGTAATAAGAAAATAAATCCAAAAAAAAGGGGAAGAATAAAGAAATTAATGATGTAGAAAAGAAAGAAAAAGTTCAAGAGCCAAAAGTTGCTTCTCTGAAGACTTATAAACTGATAGCTGTAAGAATGATCAAGAAAAAAATAGACAATATACAAGAATGAAAATGGGAAATTACCACAGCTCCTGCAGCATTACAAAATAATAAAGGAATATTAAGAATAGTTTTCTGCTAGTTTTCTTTAGACTATTTGGAGGAAATGGAAAATGCATAGATGATACACTCACAAAAAAACAAAAAAGCAAAACAGAATATATCTATGACTTTACAGGACTATAATTACTACAGAAATTAATGCACAACTAAAAACCTTTCCATAAAGAAAACTACAGACAAGTTCTCCAGCAAATTCTACCCAATATATACGGAAGAATAATGTCAATCTTAGATAGTCGTGCAAGAACAGAATGAGAGGAATTGGTCCCCAATTTGCTTTATTATTACAAAATCCAACAAAAATAATATAAGAAGAAGTGTACAGACTCATTTTACTAACAAACATAGATGTTGGAATTTTAAACAAGGCACTAGAGTAAACTGAAGCAAGCACCCTCATTTAAGAAAAGCCATAGTCAAGCTGGCTTTATTCCAAGAGTGCAAGGTCAATTTGCAAAATCTATCAATGGAATTCACTATATTAACATACTGAGGAAGACAAACCATATGGACAAACCAATGGTAAACGAAGCAAACACAGTTGATAAAATTCAACAACTTATTCATAATAAAAATTCTTAGAAAATTAGAAAAAGAAGGAAACTTCCTTAGTAAAAGGCATTTTTACAAAAAACGAATAACATTATACTTATTAAAGGCACTGAAAACCAGAACTGTACAAAGAAGGCCCACTATTACCAGTAATTAACATTTTACTATACGTTCTATACAGAGCAATAGGCAAGAAAAATGCATTAAGAATTGGAAATGAAAAAATTGAACTCATTATTTGCAAATGAAATCTAGATAAGAAAAATCCAAGAAAATCTACAATTATGAGAACTTACATGAAAGTTTTCATCAAGCTCTCATATTAGTTCTTAAATAAACTATAAACAAAAGTCAACAGCATTTCTATGTTCCAGAAACAAGGGTTAAAAAATGATACAATTTACATTAAGTGAAAATCAAATACCTAAGATGTACAAGACCTTTATACAGAAAACAATATACATTGAGAAAAATCAAGGAAAACCTAAATCAATGATGAGCTATGTCACGTTTATGGATTGAAGACTTGATATTGTATAACAACATAAATTCTCTTCAAACTGACCTGTGACATCAATAAATTCTAGTAAAAATCTCACACACATTTTCATAATACTTGACAAGGTGACTCCAAAATTTACATGGAAATGCAAAGCACAGCCAAGACCCTTTTGAGAAAGAAACAGGTGAGGGCACTTCCTCTTCTGGAGATAAACTTATAAAGTTAAGTTATGGAAAAAAGAGTGATAAACTTGACTGTGCTGAAATTAATTAACTTCTGTTTCTCAAAAGATACTATCCCAAAACAAAGAGGAAAATCACAATGCAAGACATCTGAAATGTCATGTAACTGCCAACAGGGCATATCCAGAATATTAAGCAGTTTCCTGTGAATCCATTTTTTTAAAAGCCAGTAGAAAAATGAGGACGAGAAAACTGAAAAGCCAATTCTTATTTGAAAAGTTGGATTACTTTCAGATGATTATTGAATGAAATAAAGGAGAGAAGGAGGAAGATAACTTCAATAGCTTTATGTCACTATTTATTAAAATTTCATAATTATAATACACTAAATTGTTATTGTTGTTGCTAACTGCCATCAAGTCAGTTCCAATTCATAGCAACCCTGTATAGGGTTTCCAAGGCGCAGCTTATGAGTCTGAACCACCAACCTTGCAGTTCAAATTGAACTTGTGGTAGAGTGCTTATCCTATAGCACCACACCAGAACTCCAATAACTGGATAAGTACAATGAAATCTTACAGCATGCTGCTTCTCTGGAGTTTGAGTATGGCGCTGCAGGATAATACACTGGACTGCAAGGTTGGTTTAAACTACAGGGTCAGTGATTCTAGCTCACAGCCGCTCCTCAGAAACCCTGGACTGGGTCACTAGGAGTTGGAACCAACTTGATGGCACGTAACAACAATGTTTCAAGTCAGACTTATTGCTTTTGTGTGAAATCATAATATTGACTGTTTCACTTGTTCTAGACATAGAGATTCCCATCTGGTATCTATACATAAGTCCTGTCTATCATTATTTAAGAGTGTTATTTGTGTTTCTATTTCTATCGTTAATTTGAAGCCTCAGTAAATCAACCACTTTTAGGGAACTGAGACTACATAGCACAATGTTAACAAAATACAAACATAGCAAGGTACAAATGATGTAAACTCCAAGAATATTACACATGATGGAAAAGATGGCATATTCTTGTAGCATATGAAACACTGACTATAAATTCATTACACCATTTCTTCAATAACTATCATAACTTTTATGGTTCAAATCTGGGAAGTGTTTTTGAATCCATTTCATTTCCTTTTTACCCGAAACAGAAACAACTGTATTTTGGCAAGTCATCAGCAGTCTATGGGCCTCACTCTGAGAAGCACAGTTCACTGTCAGATTCTTGGTGTCAAATGACACCACACACCATCTATCTCCCTTACCTATGCCTGCCTGAACCTTATCTGTATACAACAGACCCTAAGGATACAGTGCTTGGAATCCCTGGCTGGAGTCATCCTCCACAGCCTGGTGGTTTTTCCTGGGCTTGGTTTTTTCCCTGCCCCACCAGCCCCTACCCTACATTGTTGCTGGAGTGCTTACTAGTTAAAAGGTGAGGCCAGCTATGTCAGCAGCGTGCACTACTGCTCTGATGGTCAAAATACTGCTCAAGTAAATGGAAGTGAAAACTCAATAAACAGCAAGTTACTGAAAAAAATTGTCCCATCTGCTTTTACATGCTATACATACCTCACTCACATTGTTTTTCTTCTGCTTCATTTTTCAATCTGAATTACCTCTCCAAGTGGGTTCTAGGCTTCAGCTGTTAGATTTTTCCCCTCTGTTCCCATCTGTGAATCCACCTTTTATCATCTAACCTAATCTGACTTGTGAGTCCTCAAGACTTGCTTCTTCTAACACAGGTGCTCCCCAGGTTAATTTTTCCCATCTACCCACCTCCGGCACCAAACAAGTTTGTACGGTGGACAGCTCAACAGTTAGTGAGTGACTTTCCTAGAGTTAAGTTGTTAGTACTGGAAGGACTATCTTGCTAGAAGACTTTTATTCTTGGCTAACAAACACAATGGTCGCTCCAAAAATCACTTCATTGTGAAAATCAAGGAACTATGTAAATTAATTTCACAAAATGCTATTCCTAGAAAGGTGGTAAATTTAAAAAACTATTATAAGCAAGATCTTTTCATTAAAATGTTCCATTTTTGTCTGCAAAGAAGTCTGATTATTTTGCTGTCAGTAAAGTTATAACTTTCAGGTTTTTGTCTTTAAATAAATTGTTCAAATTAATCAACTCCTCAAAATCAAGAAATAAAACAGCATTTACCAGAAAGTAAATAAATATAAATGAAGTTTGTCTTATATATATTTTTAAACAACCTAGAGGTATTAATCACAGTAGAAAAATTAACATATGATAAATAATAGTGCAAAATGCTGATAAGCTATTTAGCTATTATTTTTTTCTTTGAAAACTTAAAATATCCCTTTCAAAACACAAAACACCACAAACACTCTAGGAAATTTGCTTTGGAATTAAATACCCAAATAATGTCACCAGGGATTTTCTTTTGTTTATCTGATAATCAACACAAGTAACTGCATCCATTTTAAAACATATAAACTTACTTTTTTGGAGGTGACAGATAAAAATGAGCATATTATCTCCAAATATTTTACTTCCACATTTAGTTAAAACAAATGATAACATTGCTTAAGTAGTTTATACAAAAAGTTTTTTATTTGGATAAATTTGCTGTATACTGTAATGAATCCACTGGGGCTTCCAAAAGGGGGAAAAACAATATGAATTCAGTGTGAAAACATTTAAAAACATAGCCAAATGTCCCCATTTGACTAGAATGTTTATGAATACCCATAAAATGGAAGCTGGCCCAAGATCTCTAAATTCTTTTTTCGAAAAGGGTACTCAATACACTCTACACAAAGGAAATTGTTTAATAAAGTCAAAGCCAGTATAGTTTTCTTATTTCATGTCTAACATTTAGGTGAACTTTTTCTTCTTCAAACTTTGGAGTTCAAAGAATACTTTCTTCAAACTAACAATGCCAGAGGAAAAATAATGAATATATTTTACCAAGTAAAAGTACTAGAACAACACTGTTATGGATCCTAACAACATCAACAAAACACAATTACTAACTGTACAAGAACTTCCCTCTTTGCATATCTGAGTTCCCAACAGTGATTTATCACACATTTTCATGCTCAATGGGAAAAAAAAAAAAAGCCAAACATATTAGCTCTCTGTTCATAGGGCAGGCAGTAAAATATCACATGTGTCAATGTCTTGATATGGTGGTATAGCAGATAAGCACTGTACTGCTAACTGCAAGGATGGCAGTTCAAAACCACCAGGCAGCCACAAACCCTATACAGGGTCACTATGAGTTGGAACTAACACAATGGCACTTATAACAATGACTATCTACAAACGAAAGGAGTCTTGGTGGCATTGTAGTATAAGACTGGACTGTAAACTGCAAAGAGAAACAGTTCAAACCCAAGAGCCACTCCACAAGAGAAAGATGAGACTAACTGCTCCAGTAAAGATTTATCGTCTCAGAAACTCTATACAGGGTTGCTATGAGTCGGAACTGAACCAAAAGCAGTGGGTATATGTTGTTGTTATGTGCCATCGAGTCGGTTCCGACCCATAGCGACCCTGTATAGGGTTTCCGAGGGTGTAAATCTTTACGGGAGTAGAAAGCCTCATCTTTCTCCCACGGTGCAGCTGGTAGTTTCGAACCGCTGACCTTAAGGTTCGCAGCCCGATTCGTAACAACTACGCTACCATAAACCACTATATAAGCAGTTCTGGTAGCATAGTGGCTAGGAATTGGGCTGCCAACTGCAAGGTCAGCAGTTTGAAACTACCAGCTGTTCCGCGGGAGAAAGATGAGTCTTTCTGCTTCCGTAAAGATTTACAGCCTTGGAAACCCTGTACAGAGGCGCTATGAGTCGGAACCGACTCCACGGCACATAACAACAACATAATGGGTACTGTGACAGAGAAGTATGGAGATTATAGCTTTGGTGGGAACACAAGACACATATATGTATGAAAAGTTAATCAACGTGGTACTATGCTGGAGTGCCAAAATGCCTGGCATAAGATTAGCGTTTAAAAATTATCCATGGATTTTCACTAACTGTAATAAAAGAGAGATCCATGGGTTTGAGCGACTGGCAAAGATTACTTCAACGAGTCAATGGTAACAGTTAGGGGGCAATAAAACATAAACATACACACTGGGTTTACTAGAATATAATGAATTAAAATTAGGTCTAATTTAAGAAAAAAATCACGTTTTTTAGAGATATATATAGCGTATGTAAGGTTGAAATGACATGTGATTCAAAATCAGCTTTAAAATACTTCAGAAAAAGAGAGAAGAGAGGGAAGGAAAAATGAAAAATTGCTAGCTGGAACTAGTGTGGCAGAAACCCTAATAATTGTTATGAGTACATTGGGGATCATTATACTAGTCTCTCTCCCTTTGTTTAACAGAAAATTTAAATAGAGATTTCTTCAAAACTAGGGCATGAGTTGGCTAATGAAAGGCTAGGATTTGAAAAGGAGGAGGACATATTAGGTATTCCACCTCATTTCTAGTCCCCAACCATTTGCCAATACAATACTCAACCTTCAGTTTTCTGGACTACACAATGCAGCAGTTACAGCTCATCCATTCTGAATCCTCAGCCCCCACTACAGTGAACTTCACCACGGTGAGCTTGTCAGCTGGCTTTCTTTTCCTAATTTCTCTTACAGCCAAAAGCTCATGATCTTGGCTCTGTTCCATCTACTACGTCCATCCTTCTGAATTTTAGTTCTAATTTCATTTGTTTTCAATTTTCAATTCCCAGTAGTTAATAGACTCCAGCTGCAAATTGTAACACACAAAAAGCTAGAGATATATATTTTAAATCGAAGTGATAAACTCTGTGGTAAATAGACTACATGAACTCACAGTTCCTTCAAAAATTCATGTTGTCTATCGTAACATGCCCTTGACACTTGAATGTTTCTACCAAGTTGGTGGGTGGGCATGGGTAAATGAATGTTTTAAGTGTAAACACAATTCCACTCTCTGCTGTTAATGCTTATTTGCCTTTCCACAGATCTCCATTCCAAGCTGAAGATTTCTCAAGTTTTCAATAACTAATAAAAATTATTCTAATATAAAAATCATAAATACCTGCATCACAAATTCTCGACGTCGGGGCATTCCTCTTTCTGAAAGCAAAACATAATCTGGTTCCTTTTCTTTTTTGGCCTGTTGAATTTGAGCCAGGCGGCTAATGGGGTTCATTCCTTGACCGTATTCTGGTCCAGCCTAAAAAATAATTTAAGAAAAAGTTTAAAATATGCCTGTAAAATTTAATGGATCCTTAAAAAACAAAGAGTGGTTCTTTCCTTACCCCTACTCCCGTACTTCCAAACTGTTACTGGAGAAGATAAATGAATCATTTAGAAAGATTTACAATGAAAAACAAAATGAATCTGAAACTAGGACTTCTAAAGGATTTGGGCCTCAGATATACTATTGATATGTTGAGCCAATTATGATTTTAAACTTAAATAAACTCCTCAGTAGAGCTGTTTCACAACTCTTATTCACCAAATAAAATAAAACAATGAAAAAACCAACCACAAAGTACAAGGAGATATTTGTAACACACATACATAAAATAGAAAAACTGCATCCAAGATAATGTTTTTAAAAGTTCTAAAAAGAGTTAAGAAAGATAGTGTAAATGACAAAGGGGCAAAAAAGGTGAACAGATATTTAAAAGAAGAACGAACATGAGAAGATCATCAATCTTGTTGTTAAGTACCACCCAGTCTGTTCCAACTCGTAGTGACCAGGGTATGTGAGGAGCGGTTGATGCATTTGAACTGCTGACCATGCAGTTAGCAGTCTAATACTTATTCTACACAGCCACACAGGACTCAAAAACTACATATGAAAAACACACTGAGATACTGCTTTACACTCACCAGAGTGGTAAAAATTAAGAAGTCTGACTGTTCTAACTGGTAACAGAATCTCTGACATAGGTTGATGGGAGTATAAACTAGAAAATGTTTAGTACATCCTCCTGGTGTGGCTCTACAGAATAAGCACTATACTGCGAAACACAAGGTTGGTGGTTCAAAGCTCCTTGGAAACCCTATACAGGGTTGCTATGTGTCAAAATGGACTCGACAGCTCTTATCAACAGTAGTACATCCAAGGGCTCCTCGAGTGGCACTGTAGTATAAACACTGGACTGCTAGCCACAAGGTTGGTGGTTCAAACCCACCAGCCACTCCTTGGAAACCCTATACAGGGTCCCTGTGAGTCAGAACCGACTCGACAGCACTTAACAACAAACAACAACAACACTTCCTACCCCCTAGTACTCTATTACTAAGAATGTACAAGGGGACTTCAAAAAGTTCTTGGAAAAATTCCATCTATTTTAATTATATTTTTCCACAGACTTTTTGATGACCCCTTGTATGTACCTTATTAAACTATTACCTATATGCGTCAGCTCATTAGTATATGGATATCCACAGCCACATTATTCAAAATAGCTAAAAACTATAAATAACTTAAATATTAATTCATAAGAGAGTCGATAAATCATGGCATCTTCATACCATGGAATGGTATAGAGCAATACAAATAAATTAATTCATTTTCATCAATAAATTAAGTATTGATACATGCATCTGGAAGGAGCATGGTGGCTCTGTACAATAGCAGTAGACTGTGAACCACAAGATTGGTGGTTTGAGCCCACCAGCTGCTCCATGAGACAAAGATGAGGTTTTCTGCTCCCATAAAGATTTACAGCCTCAGAAACCCTATACAGTTGGGTCGCTATGAGTTGGAATCCACTCAATGGCACTAAACAACAACAACAACATGCATCTGAATGAAATAAATGCTGTGTGAACAAGAAAGCACAGATGACATACAATATAACTATGTAAGGTTCACTAAAACTATAAAACATTTTTGAGAAAAATGAAACAAGATCTAATTAACAGGCACATAGTGTTCATAAACCAATATTGTTAAGATGTCAGTATCGATTCACTGCAGTTTCAATAAAAATCTCAGCATGATTTTTGTAGAAACTGTCATGCTGATGCTAGCATCTATATGGAATTGCAAAAGATAAACTGCCTAAACAACTTTGAAAAAAGAATAAAGTTGGATGATTTGCATTACCTGATTTCAAGATTTATTATGGAACTATAGCAACCAAGACAGTATGTGCAGTATTAGTATAAAAATAGACAGATGGATCAATAAAAGAAAATATGTGTCCAAAATGAGATTTATACATATATGGTCAATTGATTTTCAGCAAAAGTACAAAGATAATTCAGTGGAGAAAGAAATGTCTTTCCAACCAATGGTGCTGTGACAAATGGATACCCATATACAAATAAATAAATAAACTTCAATCTATATGTTGTTGTTAAGTGCCATAGAGTCGGTTCTGACCCATAGCGACCCTGTATGGGGTTTCCATGGAGACACTGGTGAGCCTGAACCACCAACCTTGCAGTTCAAACGGCTTTGCAGTCTGGCGCATTAACCCACAGCGCCACACCAGGACTCCTCAATCTATAAATCATATTTTTTTTAATAAATGGTATGACAAATGGTATTAATCTGTATATCATACCATTTATAAAAAATTAACTGAAAATGCTTTCTAGACCTAAATATAATACCTAAAACTATAAAACTTGCAGGAGAAGTTTTGTGACTTGGTTAGATAACAAATGCTTAGATGCGACACCAAAATCACATTTCATTAAACAACAAATTGATTAATTAACTTCTCCAAAATTAATAGTTTACCTTCATAGAAAGACAAGTCACAGATTTGTAAAAATATTTTTCAAATCATGTTTTTGGTAAGAATTTGTATGCAGAATAAAGATTTCTCAAAATTCAATTAATAACTATTATTTTTTAATATAGGCAACCCAGCTTTTAAAAATTGGGGCAAAATATTTGAATGGATCTTTCATCAAGTCTAATGTGCCAGTTACACAAGAACAGATACTCAACATCAGTAGTCACTGGAGAAATGTAAATTTAAACCACAATATGTACACTACATATATACTTAAATTTCTGAAATAAAAAGACCGACCATATCGTGTTAGCAAAGATGTGGAACACTAGAACTCGCATATCCTGCTAATGGGAATGGAAAAAAGTAAAGCACTTTGAAAAAAAGTTGGAAGTTTCTTTAAAAGTTAAATATACACCTATTATGTGAGCAAGCTATTCCATTCCTAAGTTTTTAACCAAGAGAAATGAAGGCACAAGCCTATCACAAGACTTGCACACAGCTTTAACTGAAAGTATCCTAAATGTCCAGCAATAGTTAAATGGGTAAACAAATGGAGGTATATTCACACAACGAAATACTACTTAGCAATAAAATACAACCAACAATTACTACACAATCAAGAAGGCTGAATCTCAATTATGGTGACTGAGAGAAGCCAGGTGCTCCACTGATTTGAACCTTGATGATTGTTGTTATCAGGTGCCATCGAGTTGGAACCGACTCATAGCGACCCCATGCACAGCAGAACAAGACAATGTCCGATCCTGGGCCAACCTCACTACTGCTGCCACACTTGACGCCATCAATGATGCCATCTCGTTGGGGGTCTTCCTCTTTTTCTCTGCCCCTCCATCTTACCCAGCATGACATCCTTCTCCAGCCACTGTTCCCTCCTGACAATATGTCCAAAGTATGAGACACAAAGCTTAGCCATCTTGGCTTCCAAGGAGCACTCTGGCTGCACTTCTTCCAAAACAGATCTATTGGTTCTTTTGGCAATCCATGGCACTTTCAGTATTCTCCTCCAACACCACAACTCAAAGGCATCAATTCTTCTACGATCTTCCTTATTCACTGTCCAGGTTTCGCATTTATATGAGGTTATTGAAAATACCATGGCTTGGGTCCGGCGCACCTTAGTCCTCAAGCTGACATCTCTGCTCTTCAACACTTTAAAAAGCTCCTGTGCAGATTTGCCCAATACGTCATCTGATCTCTTGACTACTGCTTCCACGAGTGTTAAAAGTTGATCTAAGAAGAATGAAGTCCTTGACAACTTCACTCTTTTCTCCGTTTATAAGAATGTTGTTTATTGGTCCAGTGGTGAGGACTTTTGTTTTCCTGACATTGAGATGCCACCCATGTGTTCTTTGATCTTCATCAGTAAATGTTTCAAGTCCTCTTCACTTTCAGCAAGCAAGGTTGTATCATCTGCATATCGCAGGTTGTTAATGAGTCTTCCTCCGATCCTGACGCCACGTTTTTCTTCACAGAACCCAGCTTGATGATTGTGTGACTCCTTTATTTGTCTTTTTAAGATACACAATAATTCCCATTCAAATTTCAATTTCATATTTCACTTTTAGAAGTAAGACTTATGCAACCAACATTACAAATTTTACATATAAATATGCAGTGCAGTAAGATGCCTGGGCATTTATTTTATTTTTTGAGAGAAGTTTTATGTGTAGAATAAAAAATGTCTGAGATTAACATTTATGTAACTATTGCAAGCAAATTTTTAAAAACAGACAGAAAAGGCTAGGAGAAAGAACAAGCAAACTAAAAGACAAAGAGAGAATGCTTGTAAAATAATGGGTGCCAACTGGGTAGGATTGTGCAGCAAATTAGCTCTCAGAGTGATTGAAACTCAAGTAAGTATCTTTCTTTACAACTTATACCTTTCACATCAATTATGTTAAAACTCACCTTCAAAAAGTGTCCAAAGAACATAGTTATTTCTATATCTACTACAAAACCTCTTATACTCCCAGTCCTCACAAAGTTAGGAGATCACCTTAAACCTTAAGCCAAAAATATCCCCTGAAGTCTATTTAAAATCTAACAATAGTTTAGCAACATGTTCTTTTAAGAACTATCTATATGAGATAAAAAGGAGTACTAGTGTGACTCTGTGGGATGAAACACTCAACTTCAAGGACGGTTTGAACCGTGAGGTCAGCAGTTCAAACTCACCAGCCACTCTTATGAGTGGGAATCGACTTGATGGCACTTAACAACAACAATACATGAGCTCAGAAGGACACAAGAGAAGCTCAAAAGATACAGGAATCCTAGGGGGCAGAGAGTTTATACTAATGACATAGGGAAAATTCTGACTAGAAGGGAGAGAATGATTATAAAACTTAAAAGAATGTAAGCAGTGTCACTAAATTGCACCTGTAGAAACTGTTGACTAGGTGTACGTTTTGCTGTGTATAGTTTCAACAACACCAAAATAAAGAAA